GAGAGAGAGAGAGAGAGAGAGAGAGAGAGGGTTGGGCTCTTCGTTGACAGATGGGAGCCTCGGCTAAGAGATGAGAGAGGGAGAGAGACGAAAGAGGGAGATGATTTGAGAGAGACGCAAAATTTTGACGGAGAAATAGAATCCCACAAAATTCAACTAAGTGGTGAATTATTGGGGATTTAGATATATGTGGGTTATTTGGATATAAGCAGATATGATTTGATCCTATCAAACAGGTTATACAAACTTGTGTACTTCAAATTATAGAAGATTCTATATTATCTAGATATATAATGAGATTAGGGTGTCATCAAACATACCCTAAATCTAATTTTAATGTCTATTTTATTTGCTGGTTTCAATTTTGCTACACAATTAAAAAGATCTCTAGATATGCACCCTTGTGTTAGCTTAATATTCAATGTGCTTTTTAACTGGTTTAGTTACCTGTATTCTGGATATCATGTGTTAATGGGGTTGCTTGTGTTTTGGCATATGTGGACCATTTGGATCTTATTTCAAAGATCTGAGTAGGATATTTCCTTAGTTACAAGAAATGCTAAGGAAGCATCTGTGGGAGTGGGGAAGGGAGCAGAAGCTAGACCAGGAAAGTGATGGTTTTCTACTGGGATTATCTGAGAAGCCATTGGTTTCTTAGTTCATGGAACTTGCATGAGGATCTTGTTGTTTAATTTATTTCTTTGTAGTTTGAAGCTTAGGATCTGGAGCAACACTTTTCCAAGGTAGTGATCCTAGGAAATTTCCATTAAGCTTTTGCATTCACTTGCCTTTACACCTGTTCTCACTGTGAATTGGGCAGTGATGTTTGGAGCTGAATATATGAGATGAAGTCACACTTGTGGTATTATATTGATGGTTTACGAAATGTTTTGGTTTTATGTTTGTCTTTTTATTTTTTGCTTTACATAAAAATGGTTGTATGTTATTGAAGGAAGTGCATATATTGGAGTCTCACAGGAAAAACTTGTTGCTTTCTTCTGGTTTATTTGCTTGGTTTGTTTGTCCTCAACCATAAGTGTTACACTTGATTATGGTGTCCCTTGTCAACTTTTTGGTTAATGTGGATATCATATGCAATCTATATTGCCTTACATTTGCTGTTGCGAATCATGATTTGTTATTGCATATTTTCTGTGGTTCTTCTGCATTATTTTAGTAAAAAATGAGGTTGTCACTTTTAAATCATTTATCAAATCTCCACAATTCCATTGATTTGGTTAAAAGCTGAATTTATTCCCTAGATCACGTGAATTGACTCATTTTTTAGATCCATTTGTATTATGCTTTAATAGTTGTGTCTTACCTTCTCTTTTTCTTTTTGCAATTATGTCGCATACATTGTTTCATATTGCTGCTCTAGTCATCTTATGTGCTGCTCCCTTTGTAGATTTCTTTATGGTGACCAGGCTCGCTTTTTCGGTGATGAGATTCATCCTGATCTAAAGCACTCCAAAACTGGCACATTATCGATGGCAAGTGCTGGGGAAAACCTCAATGCCTCACAGGTATGGATAATAATGAACTGCTGCTGTGATCTGTTATTTTCTATGTCCTTAGAACATGATAAATCTTAATAAGGATTGGGTAGGACATACTGAATTGGGTAGAATATATATTTCTATTATGATGTAATTCATGATATCTTTGAGAATTTATAATTTCTAATATTTGGAATGTTTAAAAGCTTCTATAGGGATGTTATGTGCATGCTTGAACATATGCTTCTTTGACATGTAATCTTTCTTTCTGTATACAGTTTTATTTCACACTGCGTGATGATCTTGACTATCTTGATGGAAAACACACGGTAGGACTTCCATACCATGACTTTATAGCATATGCTGCAAGTTCTTCTTATATTGGGGAAAGATCAAAAAGTTAATATTGTTACTTTTCCTATGGCACAGGTATTTGGAGAGGTAGCTGAGGGACTGGAAACCTTGATGAGGATAAATGAGGCCTTCGTGGATGAAAAGGGTAGACCATACAAAAACATTAGGTTGGTATTTTTGTTCTATTTGTATAAGCATATGACTCACTTTTTAATGGGGGTGTATTGTATTTTAAATAATATACTTTTTGATAGTCTTCTACTTGTAATAATTATGTAATGTTATATGAACAATTATTCTGTTTCAAAGGGATAAGAAAATGTGAATGCATATGGGAGGTCATTCACATTTACTGGTATTCTTACTTCCTCATAATACTTCCTCCTATTTAGGCAAGATATGTTGGGGCTGGGTCACAATCTTGATGAGAGCTAAAATTTGGAACAGCCTGCAACCTAACTGAACTTGGATGCTGTAGGCTTGTTATTCCAATCAAAAGAATGTAATTCTAGAACAGAATCCATTTTGTCGAAAGTCAGATCAGATGCAAGTGAGCTTCTAAAAATTGGACATTTACTTTGTCAGTGCACTGGCGATTTTCTTAAGTGGACACATATCTAAAAGGCTTCAAAATTGCGTTAGAACATTGTTGCTTCTTTTTTTTGGGCCCGGGGGGGGGGGTAGGGGGGGGGGGGCTTTTTGTCTTCCTGAATTTTTTCATTGGTATCTTACTTTGCTCTCCCTCATTCTGGGACCTGAATTTTCACTACCAGCCTGAGATATTTCTAAGTTTTATGGGAATTCTCTTACTTTTGAAGAAATAATAAAAGGAAGTTGAAAAAACTGATATTTCAGTTGATTCAACTTTTGTATTCCTGATTTATTAAAGTGATAAAAAACAAACTTTTTCTTCCACTTGTTGTATCTTTGCTTTATTTTGTTCCCTTATTCCTTTTCTATATTGCTTCCTGAGAGAGTACCGATGCATTCTTTCACTTATAGTTTTCTAAATTCAAGGACTCAAATAGATACTGCCTCTTCATTCTGGCCCTTACCTGAGGTATTTGCTGGTACAACAGAATAAAACATACGTATATCCTGGATGACCCATTTGACGATCCCCCTCAGCTTGTGGAATTGATTCCCGATGCATCTCCCGAAGGCAAGCCAGCTAATGAGGTATCTATAGTTCAATACTCTTAGCTTTATATGTACGTACTTTCATATCTTATGTAACATCTATATTAAGGCTGTCATGGTCATCTCTTCAATCATTTCCAATTAGGTGCTTCTTGAGGTGGCAGTGCATGGAGGCACTTCCATGTCTCCTTTCTCTCATTAACTCGTTGCTTTCCTGGGAGCAATAGTCCCTTAGTTGCGTATAGATCATTCTATCCTTATATTATTTTTAGTTGGTTGCAGTCTGAAATACTAAATTCCAGGAGGAGGCAATGGTTTTAAATCAGGAGCTCACACTTAAGAGTATGTAAAGACTTGGAGTGTTGATGCAGATCCTTGCACTTAACCTACATATATCATCTAGATTCGAATTTATGTGTATGCATAGCATAGTTCTTGCAGTAACTATGCAAGTAAGAAATAAAGGCTGCATCTTTCATCTGTTGAATTGATCATCAAATGCCTTCATCTTCTTTGAATCTTTAGTTCTTGTCATGATCATCTCTGGTACTTGATGAGAATAGGGTTTCCATTGCTTGTATTCTTTTATTTGTTGAGCTTTTGTAGATGGAAGAAGTACGCTTGGAAGATGATTGGGTTCCTATGGATGAGCAAATGGACCCAAAGGAACTTGAGGAATTGGTGCGCAAGAAGGAGGCACAGTCTCGTGCAGTTGTGCTTGAAATGGTACGATATGGGTCATATAGTTGGTCGTTGCCTCTTATTATTTAAAGATTTTGTTTTCTTTCCTAGAATATTTGTATGAAGCTCTTGTTAACCTACCCTCAAAAAAAAAAAAAAATTGTATAAAGCTCTATCTTCTAGGGGTTAAATACATTAATATCCAGTAGAATATGAAAACCACAGTCTACTGGGGTCATCGCGTCCATTGATATGAAGTTTTGTAATGGAGAGTGAATGGGACCCGCCATATTATCACATCCTGCACTGGTGAGTCCCGCTCTCTGTCCATCACAATCCATATCCTTGGACGCCAATAATTTCAATGGATTCTGAGCAGATTTTGTTGCCTTAGTCCGCCGGAATATTTAGTTTTCCTTCTGTATATGGCCTCTGAAATAATATGACTTTTGCCTCACAGATTGGAGACATACCTGATGCAGAGATAAAGCCTCCAGAGAATGTACTTTTTGTTTGTAAGCTTAACCCTGTTACCCAGGTATTTACATTACTTCCCTAGGTCCTATGTGATTCTTAAAAGGTGTTGCTGTAAGTTGGCTTGATAATGCACTAAAACTTCTTTGCTTGCTTAAAGAGGTTGCACGATATTGTGTCAGATTATCTATTCTATCTATTTAGATCTCTGTATAAAGGTTGGAAACACTTGGTGTATACATTTTCTTCCATTTCTTCATCTATAATTGTTCAATTGAGACAATAACTGATTCCCCGGACCTCTAAAATGCAGGAAGAGGATCTAGAAATTATCTTTTCACGTTTTGGAAAAGTCATATCGTGAGTATCTGATACCTTGGCATAAATGTTTTTTTCTTAAGAGATTATGTGCATGTACAATAATTGTAATGTTGCTACTTCTGAGTGTGACAAGTTATTTTTGGCAGCGCAGGGCTGATATAATCCGTGATTACAAGACCGGAGATAGTTTATGTTATGCTTTCATTGGTAAGAAGTTCATGCTAACATTATTTTGGATCTATAGAGTTTGATATTCATAAGTGTCGTATATTTATTTTAAGGAAAAAGTTTATATAAGGATGCAACCTTATAATGTAGAACTACGGATGCACCTCAAAAATCCATCGGAAAAGGTAGTTTTAAAGTTGAAAAACCTTTTTGATTGACCATCTCGACATCGAGATGTATGACCCTGAAAAATAAAAAGATTTTAAGTCTCATAAATAGTGTATTTTACAACATATTATCTACACCTTCCATTTTCAAGATTTTCATATGTTAATAGATCTACTTGATTTTAACCTTTTTTGAAATTTAAAATTTTATAATTAGATATAAAAAGAGGTTTTGAGATAATCCTAAGAACATTTTACATCAAAATTATATACCATCATAAAATTTGAAGGTGCACCTTACCTCTACAGCTACGGATGCACCCGTATGCCAACTGCCCCCTTATTTTAATTGTATGTATCTATGGTCTTAGGGCATTTAGCAATACATCTAGATTTTGTCCCTTTGTTATTTTAATCAAAAGACTTGACACTTTTTAGAATTTTGTTTCTTTTCTAAATCTAGTAATGAATGGCAATTAGGTGACTGGGAATTTTTAATTTTATCACTTAGTAATAGGCGGGACTTTGAGACACAAAGGTGTCCAGTGAATTTCTGAATAAATAAGTGAACTAGCTCCCCGTATTTTGCATGGTTGGTTAGTTTTTGTCAAGAGAGGGAGGGTATCATATGTAATTTGTCTTTTGGTACTTATAAATATCCTGTTAGCAGATCTGTTATGTTGCATAATGTGTCATACCTTATCTGATTTAACAAAATATCTTAAGATGATGTAACAAGTAAAATATTGTTCTTTATTTTGGTATGTATAGTGCCTGATTAAGTACTGTCTTATAAATTTTTAAAAGCTTGAAAGATTGGAGTGCAATTTCTATTGTAAACAATGAACGTGATTATAAGTGAAAAAAATGCTGTATACATGACATGATTTTCAATTTTTGTAATCTTTTACAGAGTTTGAGACTGAAGAGTCTTGTGAGGCAGCATATTTCAAGGTACCCCGATATTCCAACAATTTTCTTTGCTTACACGATCACGGGTATGCCAGTATAGTTTTATTGTCAATTCTTGTTACACATGGATATAAAAGTTGGTGCTCTTGGATTCTCTCTTTTTCTTTCTCTTTGCTTTTTTTTGAGACTGTTTATAGTTTTATTGTCAATTCTTGTTACACATGGATATAAAAGTTGGTGCTCTTGGATTCTCTCTTTTTCTTTCTCTTTGCTTTTTTTTGAGACTGTTAACTTGTAATTAAAATAATAATTACAAATTTGTCTCAAAAGACTATTAGAACATAATTGTGTTAAGAAACTCTGTGCTTCTGTACAAGGATGAGGGTAAAGATAAAAGAGTCCATACAGGATGGATATACAAAGAAGGATTTAAAACAAAAAGAGAAGGCTATGGCTAGGGGTAATTATCTGGCTGAAACACACCGATGTTGGCCTTGGTGATTTCTTCCTTGACTAGAGAACCCGCCAAGGAGTTTGATTATCTCCAAATATGAGAGAAGGTCTCATGAGGAGAGAGGCTCAAGACGGGGATGTTATCAATAATATGGTTCAGTCTTCAAGGGAGCAGGATGGAATGACAGGCCCAAACAATGATGTTGTTGGAGTTGCCCTCGACCATGAGGTGCTGAACCTAGTGGTGGTCGAGAATCCTATGACCAGCTCGAAAAGCCAGTGCTTAGGTCCTGTTTGAGTCAATCATTCTTGAAGAAAGTCTTCAAGATTGCACTGTTATGGTCAATGATTTAAAAAGTGAACCACCCAGCTCCTAGGCGGTCCAAAAGCGCCCAGGCCTAGGTGGCCAAATTAGGCGGGATATCCCTGGGCGCCTGCCTAGGCGCTCAACCCTAGGCGGCCCCCAGGGCCTGCAACCCGCCCAAGGGTGGAAATGCCCCTCGTTGAGCGCATTTTTTGGTCAAATTTTAATACTAAAGGGGCAAAATTGTGGGTTTTAGGTTCATTTGAAACCTAAAATCCATTAGAGCCTATTTTAGAGAGAAAAAAATCCCAAAAAACTAGTTTTTGGTGATTTCCATAGGATCGAACGATTTCTTAAAGTTACGAGAAATTGATCTAAGCATCACCCATTGATATTAGATTTAATTTTAAATGTTTTATAAATCTATTAGAGGGTTTGGTAATTTAGTTGGTAAATTTTAAGTTTTAACTATGTTTGGAGTGTGGAGTGTGGACTATCAAACTATGGATAATTGGATATGGACTTATGGTTATGGAGTATGGAGGAGTGTGTGTTATGTGGACTTGTGTACTGGACATTTGATGTATCCTAAATCCCTAATTCTTAGGTCACACAGACCCAGTTATCCCAGCAGTCACTAGGTTACCAGGGGAGCAGTCGTTGAAATTTAACTGCACTACCCCTCAGAGGCAGTGGGGTCCTGGAAGATTCGGGGAGAAGGGTGAGGGCGGAGGTAGACCAAGGTGCAAGAGTGGCCAAACGACTCTTTTCAAGGCAGGACCAATGCAATGCCTAAGGCTTTGGTGCAGTCGATGGGAGATTTGCAGTTTTACACTTTGAAATGTCATTTGATTTTGCCCTAACCAAATTAACCCAAGGATAGCTAGGATGGAGAAACACCACAGAAGAAGGCCATAATTGGGAAAGGGGGGATCACCTGCTCTAAAATCATCATCATTATCATCATCATCCAAGCCTTATCCCAATTATTTGGGGTCAGCTTCATGATAAGATATGGCTAAGTTTTATGATATTGCCTACCTAATGTAACCCACCTCCTTTACCCGGGCTAGCACATGCTCTAAAATAAGGTATCTATTGACTTTGGGTTGGGCCAAGCAATCTTGAAGAGAGACAAAAAGGTCCATATCTGGGAGGTAGCCTTGCAGTGTATCAATAGACGCATTGCTATTTCTGCTACCTTTTTGCATGTGCTGCATCTATTTGGCAGGCTGGAACCTCACCTTTGTAGATAACCTTGCGTGAGCACTTTGTTCAGTAAGATGAGCCAGCCAAGAGCTTGGATTATTTATTTATTTTGGGTTGGGGGGGTTCACCTAAAGGGAAAAGTTTATATAGAGCCTAGGCTCTAAACAATCAAATTAGAGCCTACCTCAAAATGTTCACTAGAAGAGGTTCTCTTGATGCCAAAATATCATCAAATTGATCATCTCGACCTCAAGATACATGGACAAGAAAAAAAATGGATTTCAAGTTTTGGAAATAGTGCATCTTGTAACGCATTTTTTGACCGTCAATTTTCAAGATTTTCAAGTTTTCATAGATCTGCTCGTTCTACACTATTTTTGAAGCTTTAAATTTTATAACTAAAGATGAAAATATAATTTAAGGCTATCACAAAACTTTCCAGTATTGAAACTATATTTCTCAATACTATTTGAAGGTAGGCTCCAATTTGATTATTTAGAGCCTCGGCTCTATACAAACCACACCCTTACCTAAATGGCTCTGTGGATGAGGGCTGGGAGTGTGCTAGCAGGGAGGAGGGTTTTGTAGAACGAGGAGACCGATAACTTTTGACCCCCTTTCTTAGAATGGTGACTAGCTTTGGTCTCCATAACAGAGACTGAGTCAGCTTGTTCAATCTGGATCCAAATCCCTGTGGAAGTGAGGGGGTGCATACTGGACGACCACCAATCTCCTCAAAGAGATCGACAATAGGGACCTGAATCGGGGGCAATATTGCCTAGTCTAAGATATAGACATTTGAGAATGAAAGACCCTGTGCAGAGGTCTCGCCAAACTGAGGTGCTCCTCGTTTTTTTGGCTAGAAATGAATATTTTGCATGAAGAGAGAAGTGACGGCTGATGCTGCGACAGGTACGAGGTGGTCCAGCATTAATATGGACCTCGGGTAAGCCAGCCAAGATGGTCAGCCCCACAGGGTTGTGAGATAACCCTCTGTGCATGTGGTCCCTCTGCCACATGCGGTCCTGTTGGGCAGTGAAGTGCCACCACCATTTTCCTGAGGGGGCAAGGTTTGTCTCCTTGAGCTTCCTAATATCCACACCTCCAGCCCACTTAGGAAGACAACCTGTGTCTCAATTACATAGGTGGCATTTGTGTGAGTCTCCTGCTCCACTCCATGAGAACTCTCTCATAAGTTTCTCAAGCTTATGGACAACCGCCATTGGCATCTCAAAAGAGTCACACGGAAGATCGGGGATACTGGACAGGGTAGCTTTGATGCCCATAGGAAAGGTAGTAGCATGTCCGTAAAGCTAATCTTCTCTTGAACTTCTCGACGACGCTGTCCCACTGATGGCTCCTTATTTTGCTGATGCATAAAGGAAGGCCAGGGTGTTTCCAGGGGAGCTTATCTACACCACATCCCAGTCTATGGGACAAAGATTGGCAGCAATGTTGTTAACGGCAACAAAAGTAAGCTTGGTTTTCTCAAGTTGATGTGCAGGACATATACCAATTCAAAGCATCTAGTAAACAACCAGAGATTGTTGGCCTCCTGTGGTGTCTCAGGAAATCTACGGTGTCAATTGCAGATGAGAAATGGAAGGACCAATGTGGGAGTTATGAAACCTATGAAGGAGGTTGTTGTGGCCATGATGGCAAAGTGGATGGGAGAGTAGGGGTCTCCTTGGCTTAGGCCTAGGTACAGGGAAGAAGCCCTGGGGAGAGCTATTAATGAGAATGGGGAAGTGGCAGAGAAGATGCATCCTCGAATCCAATATCGCCAATTTGATCCTGATATGGTAGATGCTTTCTTGGGCAGGGTAATCTGAGCTTGCTTTCTTTTGATCCTGATATGGCAGGTGTCTTCTTGAGCTTGAATGGCGATGTACTCAGGAATGGTCTCTGGATCAAGGCTTTCAATCTTGCAGGGAATGGAGCCAAGCTTGCTCCAAAGGAATCTTTTTTTATCCTTTTTTTTAAAGAATATTTGACTTTATATAGATGGCAAATTGTGAGTGAGAAACTTAGAGCCCCAACATGTGTGAATATATAGATATTAAGTAGTCTTCACAAAAAATGTGTGAGAACCACAACATGCGCGAAGCCACGAATTACAAACAAAATCTGCTATACATACACTATACTGATTATACTTAAGAAAACAAAAATTCTGTCATGCTAAGGCCCTGTTGATTACAAAAAAATTGTTGTTCACTCCTTCCTCCTAGTGTTTGTAGAAGATTTCTGAGTTCTTGGAGGTCATGAAGATTCATTCAAAAATCTGTTAAAGAAGCCAGGGATATCGGGGCCTTCTTTGTGGCCCATCTAATCACATTTTGTGAATCTCATTTCACCAGTAGGGAGTGTCCCCAGCTTTAGTCAAAACGTTATAAGTCCCTCGAACAGAGCAGCCACTGTCCTGGTTGAATCTGTGACACTTTCTACATATTCCAATCATCTACAAACCAGGGCCGCGCAAGCAACATCCATCAAAATTTAGATGGCTCCATGGAATGGAGCAATCCAAAACCTAGACCTGGACACCATCAACACTCTAGCCCTTCTACTGTAGCTCCAATTTTGGACAAAGTCTGAATATGACCAGTCAATGAATTCCTTTCACTGGCATGCCCAAAAGACCATCAAGGACTTGATCTTGTCTTTCAAAACTATTAACCTCTTTTCGTTGCCCTAATCCAAGAGTTCAATCCATAATTAGCAGAGCATGGCTAAAATTGAAGCACGCCCAAGAAGCAAGCCAAATGCCAGGGAAGGAGTAGAATAGGCTGAAATAGCTGTTGAACATTTTGGGGCCACATCCACTCCCATTTGAAAGTTCTATTAAGGAAAGTCCATACATGAACTACCACTGAGCAATGTCAAAACCGGTGGTACTCTGGGCCATGGGGGAGGGATTCAATGGGACAGTTGGATCACCATTGTTTTCATTCAGGGTTAAAGTGTCCACTGAGATGTAGAATGTGTTTGGAGATTTTCATTCCAAAGACACAGTAGGTTGTCTTCCTCACAAATTCCAGATTTTGGATAGCTTGGATAGCTTGGGACTGTTTTCCATTTGATTCCAGGGAAACTAAGGAGAGGGAGACCCCTTGGAAGAAGATGGACTTTCTCTTCAATGATTTTCAAGCAATTGGTTCTTGAAAGAGAAGACGCCCTTTTGTTTTTCAGAGCATGACAGGAGATAGCAGTTTTCCACAACTTGCTGGCCTAGGATGACATACCTCTGTTGTCATGTTAGGCGGAAGCTTTGAGGGCCTCTTTGTATTCCAAGATTATGGGTTCTCCAACCTTAATTGAAGTTGTGCTTTTGCTGAGAATCTTCTGCAAATGCAGGTTTAGAATGGGTTAAATCTGATGAAGGTGAGGGTGAGAAGGGGCCAGTGAGAGGATGGGTGCTAGCAGGGTGAAGGAAGGGGAAAAGGGGTGGCTGCCTTTGAAGCAGGCTGATGGTTGATCTTGTCAGGGGCAGCAGGATAGTGGAGATTTGGAAGGAAAATGTTGGTTGACAAGTGGAAGGATCGAGAAGATTGGGAGTGGTGGACAATTGAGGGCAATAGGTTCAGGAGGAAGAAAGTAAGCAACAGTTTGAGGCACCAGGATGAACGGTATAGTGTTTAGGAAGAGAGGTAGATGAGGTGGATGATGAGTCAGGGTGTTGGTGCTGGGCTTGGGGCAAAACATGGAACAAAAGGAGGTGGTGAGATGATCCTTAGGGATGAGGGTGGTGAACTGCATGGAGGGGATGACATTGCTGGTGTTGGGATTGGGCCCAAATCTTTTCCGGCGTGTAGCTGCCATTGTGGCTGTCTAGACATGTATTGGAACCCAATTTTGTGATAGCTTTCTTATACCACATAGGCGCACATAGGCGCTATTTCTATATGTGAGAACTATTAGTGTCACATTTACTGTTTTCATTTGTCATTTCAGCGGGGTGTATCACATAGTGATCTCGTATTGTAATCTATCTGCTTTTTTAAGAATTCTAATCTGTGTAATCATCCAAGGTAGTTGACCTTCCTTAGATTACTTACTTACAAGGTCTCCTAGTAATTGATGTTTTTCATTAAACTTCTTTTTGAGTATTTCTGTAACATGCAACCCTAGTTCTGTAGTTTTTTTATTGTGTGTGTTCTAATTTCGTCTGTCTGTTTTGAGTGTTTATTTGTCTAGATAGATTGAAAGATTTACTTGCTATCTTATACGTTTCACTTGTATGATATGCAGATGGATAATGTTTTGATCGATGACCGTAGGATACATGTAGATTTCAGTCAAAGTGTTTCCAAGCTGTGGTCTCAATACAAGCGTGGTGGTAAAAGCAACCAAGGTATTAGCAGCCCATTTGCAATGTGTGCTGGGATTCATACAGTGCTAGACACTTTTATCTTCTATGCTTTAAACAGACTGCTGTTATCACTTACTGTCTCTCTACTGAGCAACTTGCATCAGTAAAAGCAAGATAGTGGTTCTTACAGAGTTACAATCAATATTGGTATTTTGCCCCATTGTTTAATGTACGTACATATATAATTTAGAACTGCTTTTCAGTCATTCATCACTTCTCATTTGTCATTTTGCAACTCACTAGTGGTATTCTCATTCGTTTGCATGCACATGTATTCATGCACATGTAGACGAGCAATCTAATCCTTTCTTGCACTTTTGAAAATTCTTTCTATTCCATACTCTTTTGACTTTGATTAATGTAATCCATTCTTAAACTTCTTTTGACAATTCTAAGGGTACTCTAGATTTTTCAAAATATGATGAGTGGAATTTTTGTTATTAACATTGAGTAAAGTGGCAATTAGGGGGAGCATCCAAGTTGATTAAATGTTTTTAAGACCTTGGATTCTTGCAAAACAGAAAATGATTTAAAATATGCCAACTTGTATTATGACTTCCACTATGCGTTAAAAATTTATGTGAATGGTTTGGTCATTTGTTATGAACAGGGAGCGGATGCTTCAAATGTGGTGCCCTTGATCACCTTGCAAAGGATTGCAGTGAGGGTTCTGAGAGGAAAGGAAACACGTCAAAATATGTCTTGAAAAACACTAATACACAACGTGGTGATAGCCACAAAAGGTGGGTGACTCACCATATCAAATGCAACTTATCCACATATTTTTTGATCAGGAAGTGTCTATAGTCTATGGACCTTGGGAAAACCATAATCTCCATCGCCATGCATTGAAATGATAGGTGGTGATGGATAGAGTGGGTCCTTCCAGAAGAGGACACGACACCAATATTGGATCCAACTCTCTCCATCATCATTCATTTCAGGGGAATGGGATTGACCCTAGGGCCTATGGCTTTCTTTTTTCTATTTTATTATATTATACTTCTCTCTATTTATGATTTAACCATGCATTTCCATTTTTATTTTTTTAATAATGACAACTGAAGTATTTGCAATCTTTCCAATCAGAGAAAAGAAGTCAATTCAATTCTTATTTTTTATTTACAAAAAAAATGGAAAATGAGAGCCAAAGGTCCGCATCTCTATGGATCCTTATATAGTTTGCAGCATGAGAAAGCAAAAACTTTCTTGCCATCAAGGGAAGGAAAAGAAGCCCCCCAAGCATTTCTATATGGGTGCGGTTTGTATAGAGCCTAGGCTCTAAACAATCAAATTGGAGCCTACCTTCAAATGGTATCGAGACATGTGGTTTCAATATTGGAAATCTTTGTGATAGACTTAAAATATTTTTTATATTTACTTATAAAGTTTAAAGCTTCAAAAATAGTGTAGATCGACAAATCTATGAAACCTTGAAAATCTTGAAAATTGACGGTCCAAAAATGCCTTACAAAATACACTATTTCCAAAACTTGAAATCTATTTTTTTCTCATGTCCATACTTCTTGATGTCGAGATGATCAATTTGAAGATATTTGAGCATCAAAACAACCTCTCCTAGTGAAAATCTTGAGGTAGGCTCAAATTTGATTGTTTAGAGCCTCGGCTCTATATAAACTTTTCCCTTTCAATATTTTTTTATTTACACCAAAAAGAAAAGATGAGTGGAAATGGGATCTTTTATTTACCAAATTAGAAAAATGAGTGGAAATGAGATCTAAAAGTTGGCATGTCTGTAGATCCTTACATAGCTTGTGGTATGCGAAAGCGAAAACTTTGTTACCCCTCGTGCAATTGATTTGCAGCTATGACATGGTCTTTGATGGGGAAGATACTGAAAGCCCCCAAAGAGGAGAGGGAAAGCACACGGATCACAAAAGGGAGGTGAGAGAAGAGGAACAGCGAACACATAACAGAAACTCAGATCATCCTAGGCCTAAGGACCCAGAGAAGACAAATTGGTACCGAAGGCAAAGAGAGGAACCTAGGAGTGAAGAGAGAAACAAACACAAGGACAAGAGAAGGGAAGATCATAAGGATGGTAGTGGCATGCAAGATCATAGAGCGACCGAAAATCAAAAGAGGTACATGGATGATCAACATGGAAGAGAGGACAGAAAGCGAAGTAGGGAAGAGACAGAAAACCGCAGTCGTCATCATGACCATTACCACAGCGAGAGAAGGCCAAGAGAGAGTGTTCGCCATGATCACAGGGAGGACAGCCGGACCCTAGAGCGAGAAAAGCATAAGGAGAATAGGAGAGAGGTGTATGATGATACTCGTAGTGTTGAAGATCGCAGCGAAAGAACCAAGACAGGGGGATACAAGGCCAGAGATAACTGGAAGAAGCATTCAGGAGATAGCCCTATGAGGAGAGAGGAGAGGGAAGACAGAAGGCGACATGGAGAGGAGAGAGAATACAGGAAGCAACATGGACAGGGGAGAGAGGATAGGAAGCAACATGGAGAGATGAGAGAAAGTCAAGGACAGCATCATGATCATGACCGCAAAGAAAGAAGCAGAAGATGAGACTTTTGGATATATGTATTATTTGGTATAATATATAATACGAATGAATTTGAATCATTTGATGGTAACAATTGACATCATTATACAAGAGCTTCATGTGATCAGCATGTTCACATATTCTGTAATTTTGCTCTGTGCCTGTTTGTTAAGAGTATTGTTAGGATCTTCAATTTTGGTTCTAAACCTAGTGACCAACTTTCAGAAAAGGTAAAAAAGCATGTGTTTGAAAAAAAATGATGTCTTGAAACCTAATTAAATATTGTTCAGTTTGCGATTGGTTCGATCCGAGTATTTGTGAACTCAAAAGTCTTTATTTTATTTTTGTTTGAAAATACTTTATCTGGTAATTCTAAATTATATATCAAAATTTATGATAGAACAAATCTTAGCACGTTTGCACGAGGGAGTAAGTACAGAGTGTCCTTCAAGGGAAGGGTGGTGTATGTAGAGGGGCATCTATACAAAGACACTTAAACTAGGGGCATGAGTTTCTGTGGGAGGTAAAGAAACTCATTATTCCAATTGAAAAATATGAACCATTCACCCGCTATGCATAAACCTACCAGACAAAATGGAGTAAATTTGGCAGATATGTGAATACTTGAGATGGACGGTCCAGAAACTATTGTAATTCCAAGAGGGACCATTTTTTGGCTCAAAATAATTATTTTTAGATCTTGAGGTTGAGAATCGTTGAAATTGAGTTATATGCTTTACCTTTTTACCTCTCTTTGGACAGGATTACCAACATGGAACTCATTTTCTTTCAATGGAAACCTACGATCCAATTTCTTAAGCTTAAGTAAGTGTTCATCGCATTCTTCTGCCCTGGCCACTTAAGCAGTGCCAACATTGCCGGAACTTTCTTACTTGATCAATCTTCCAAAATTTGAATAAGGGTATTTTGGAATTTATATTTTTTTATTTAATAATGTGAGTGAAATGAAACTTCGAAAGCAACCATTCTAATGGCAAATTGGATTCTTTGATATCCTTGTAAAGTGGTTTGACAACCATCTACGTATATTTTCCTATTAAAAATGAAAATCGAGTTCAATCCCAGGGTGTATTTCTCTTTGAACATATTTTCATATATTTTCCTAATTAAGGTGAAATTTAAGTTTGTAATTACTTTGTCAACATACCAGAGATATATAGCACCGTGATTATATCACACAGTGATATGTGAAAGCTTAAAATAAATGGCCCAAAATGCTTGTTACAAGGTAGACCATTTATTTATTGAGGCCTGAAGTTCCCTTCCTGATCCATGCTTCTAGAGGATGAAATACAATTAATTCTAATTGTATGGTGAGTCTTTTATTTAAAAGAAATTTTATCAAAATGCGAAACCTTCGCATGCGCATGTTGTGGGAGAAAATCATTTTCTCTTTAGAGAAATCCACAAACCTTTTTATTGGCTCCTATAACTCTTTTTTATTGGATTATTTTGTAATAAATATAGCGGTTGTCTGGGCTTAAGTGTTAATATTGCTTTCAACTCTTTTTTCTTATTTTCGTTACTTGGTGTGCTTAAAAATTCACAAGACAAATCAAGAATGGCTTGATTTTAAAAAGGAAAAAGTTCAGGAAATTTATGAGAAATGTGCCGTGCAGTTCTTTATATTTTAGTTATACTAAAATCTCTTATTTAATACCCCCGTACCTATATAATCTTTTTTTTTCTTTTTTTTTAATATTATGTAAATAGCATTTTTTACCCTGTTCGTGGTGGTATACTAAACCCAAACTTGCCTGTTGCCCTTGGTGTTACTGATTACACCTCACCAGTAGAGCGGCAGGGTTGATTTTTTTTTCTTTTTTTATATTGTTAATTACCCAAGAAAAAGAGTGGTAATTTTTTATTCTATGGCTCTGTGAAAAAAAGGTATAATTATGGTAAGTCAAAATTCCATAATATTAGAAAACTTGATATCTCTGCGTCTTTTTTATGGGAAATGATCTTACGAGATCCTCCCACACCCATGTATGTATAATCTCAAAGGATCACCGTTAAATTTGACACAGATCTCCCACACCTATATGATAACTTTTCTAGATATCTGTGTCAAATTTAATGGTGATCCTTTGAAGTCCTACACAGATGGGTATGGAAGAGTTTTATAGGATCATTATTCTTGTTTTATTTATATAATATTTTCTATACTTTTTGGATGTAACTACACCACCAATTTAGAACAAACTCTCTATTCTCAAAATAGCATTTCAACATTTTAACAAAAATATCATTAGAAAGTGTTGTGTTTTATATCCAACATGTCATTTGCCTCGAATTCCCTTTGAAAACATATGTCACCTTGGGAGCAATTTTTTAGTCTCTTTATGCCTAATTTTTGCTACTTTTTTTGGGCAACCTGTCAAGCAGAAATAGCAAGAAAACTCAAGGAAAATAAAATGAAATTTGAGAAAATAGTACAATGGTTTCCTCCTCACACTTTTGAGGAAGATGAAGGAGAAGTTCCCCAAAGCCACAAACATAAATATAAAAGCCCAAAGTGATATTTAATGTTGTAGTTTTAGGATTTCAATGTTTTGTTCTATTCATATCCATAGATCTCAAAGTCAAGATAATCAACTTGTGTGTTTTTTTAACAATTGAAAAACGCTTTTTTGAAAATTAATTTCTCAGACTCATTGAATTGCTTCATGGTGTTTAAATGAATCTCGATCATATCTCATAGAATAACCATTCAGGCAATTTGCTTCATGGTGCTTAAATGACTCTCACTCAAATCTCATAGAATAACGATTCAGGTAATTTGCTCAAGAATCTCACTCAAATCTCATAGAATAACCATTCAGGTAATTTAGGAATCTCACTCAAATCTCATAAAATAACCATTCAGGTAATTTATGAATCTCACTCAAATCTCATAGAATAACCATTTAGGTACTTTATGAATCTCACTCAAATCTCATAGAATAACCATTCAGGTAATGGCAATGCAGACTCACCTCAATAATTTTGAATGGCAAATACACTTGGTTTCAGACAGTTGGGTTCCCCTCTTGTAGTAAACTTAAGCCTTAGCAATTCAGATTAGAAGACTTGGAGAGATCAGCAAATGTGGATTCCCGTCGATAAAAATGAACTAGTTGCAGTCTGTTTGATGTAGTTTCCCACTGTAGCCAGTTTGAAGTACCAAACAAGGTCATCAATCACATTTCCAAGCCAAGCAAACTCCACATCTTCGAAGCCCGAGTCCTGGTTTTTTTAATAATGAGTTCATTCACTCCAGTTTCCAATTCTCTATCCAAGTGTAAACCTTACTCTTATTCATTCTTCTGTGAAACTGAGAGAGGGGGTGATCAGACCAGTTGGATCTCTCTCTCGCTCTCTGTTTGTCTTGTTGCCAGTTTGAAATGACTTTAATTAAATCATCAATCTCATGCCCAATCAGCATCATCTCGCCAAGCAATCTCTCCATGACTTCATAGATTAAGTCCGACTCTGGGTGTCTTCCAATTTCCATAATGAACGCATGCACACAAGAGTTCACCTCTACCCAACCGCAACCGCGATTTTTTCCTCACCCCCCGAACCCTTATCATTGCACTTTAGATACATTCTCCCATTGGTTCTCGGCTGCATAGACATTGGATAAAAACAGATATACTGTCCCATTGGTTCTTGGCTGCATAGACATTGGATAAAAACACATAGTTCCCTGAATTATCAGGCTCAATATTAAAGAGATGCTTTGCTGCAACTTCAGCTAATTCCACACGGCAATGAACTCGGCAGGCAGCAAGCATGGACCCCCAAACAATCGAACCAGGCTCAAAAGGCATGGTTTCTATAAGATCCAGAGCTTCACAAAGGCAACCAGCTCTACCAAGAAGATCAACCATTTAAGCATGGTGTCTCACTGATGGCCTAGTGACATGGCCTTTGGTCATAGACTCAAACTGCTTTCCTCCTCAAAAGGCATAGTCTCTTTTCATTATTATTATTATTATTATTTTATTTTATTTTTTTAACATGGGTCTCTTTTAAAATTTTCCAAAGATTATATACTTGTGAAAGCACATCGTTCATTTGGTTTGTGCCTGCTGCATATCTGGAGATAAACATCATCTAATCAGAGTGGCCATCTTTTCTAATTTTGCCAACCTCATGAATCGGAAAATGGAAATTTCACCAGAATTTTGCAATGAAAATGCATTCGACTGTGAACACCAAATCCCATGTAGACATTCCCAGTGATTTTATTTGATGTTTAATGATCCAAAAAACTTATCATTCTCTAACCCTCTTTCAATATCAATATCTAAAAAAATAATGGACTAAATGCAAAATGTAGTCCTGCGTTTACAAATGTACAATTTGGTCTCATGGGAGCACCATCTCAATACCCTTTGCTCCGGACCATCGATAATACCCATCTCTTGGAAAAGAATAGACTGAATGCACAAGTTTTAATGACCCAGACTTGTAGATTTAGTCCTAATCAAGTTCAGGTTGGGTTGGGGTCCGCTGAACATGTTGCAATGTCTAGTCATGCTCTATGGGATCCAGACCCGGTTAGGTCTGGGCCCCATGAGGTAAACTTGCAGAGTCGACTCAATCAGGACCCAACCTATTTACATCGTGCATGTCCCTGAAAATAAACGTATGGATATGCAGGGGAAGTGATGCACGTTTCCCCCCTGCAACACCAAAATTCTTCCCTATCCCACACAAAAATGCATCCCTTCGGAAATAGTATGCGCATAGGGGAATGATAAGATTTGATTTGAGGGACCTTTTATATTGCTCCCCTACATCCACCCGTTCATTGAATTGATCGATGGTCTATCTGATCATGGGCTGGTGGTGGATTTAGAGCATATTTTTTTTTTGTCTAAATGTAGAATAATTTTTGGGGTGTAGGAGTTTAAGGTGGACCTTTACTTTGGGCCCTCACACCTTGAAAGTGGTTCACTTGTATATATAAAGATAAAAATAGGTCAAATTTTGGGAAATTGACTAGGGTCATGGTGATAGCATCCTTACAACTAAGTCTCCACGTTGTTTCTATTATCAGTAACACCACCCCCACTAACACCTCCAAAAAAAAAATAACTCCTGAACTATTTGAAAAACAGGTCCCTACCTGTCTTCCCCCATTCAATTACCCAAAAAGAAAAGTCAAATACATCCAAAGGGAGGGCAAACCCCACGACCCTCACCCCACCCCCAAGGCCAACAGGGTGTGCGTGTGAGAAAGGAGAGTGGAAGAGAATAATCATCAAAACATCGGCATACTAAGTGTTAAAAGACAATTAAGATCAAATTTGAAGTAAACAGAAGTGGTAATACAATGTGTGAATATCTTCATTCAATCAACACAGTTGACAATCAGACCCAAGACCATGGCATGGCATGGCAGCCCCTATATTCCAAATCACTATGCCAAGATGCCCATCCCAAAAACACAACATTCATAAAAAATACTGCGTCACATATTAACAAAATACTTGACAACACCATGAATACATGGCTTTCTTCCTTCAATGTGGTTTATACAAGCCATGCATACACCACACTTCGCCTTCTCAATCAATTATTCCACAGTAATCTTTAGCAGTCACCATTTGACTGCTTTTTGTTGATAAAGCCCCATCAATAATTGCTTGATTCTCTCATATATTCACAATCTTCATGAATTATGAACTTGGGGTTTGGGGCCTTTGGTTCTCTTGCTCTGAACCATTTGCATACCCTTGGCCCTGTTGGTCTCTCGTATCCCTAAACCTAGAGAGAGAAACGAGTCCATTCACTCCAAATACCCACAACAACATGGACCCAAGTGATGAGAGAGAAGTGGGGTTCGGTGCATCTTCAGGTCTATCCAATTGTTGGGGATCTGACCTTATCTGTTGGTTATCCACTGGCTCATTAGTTGCAGACGATCCCATCTGGGCCATTGGTTCTGTCGATCCTATGGTTTCTGAGCTGTCTGGTGGGTTGGGCCAGGGCCTTCGGGCACGATTCTCCCCGAATTCATCATTTGGGTTTGGAGGCCTCATGTTTAGTCTTGCAATGTGGAGAGTAGATGTGAGAATCGCAGACGAAGTTATGTGGACACCAGTTTGTTGCTGCAACCGAAGCCGGTTTCTCATGAATCTCTGGAGAGCGGGAACCTGAGAACAGATGGTTAGTGAGAGAAGTGATGCATGTTTTTGCTTGTTTTTCTTATGTATAGAGTAAGTGATGTGTTGGTTGAGGGGCAAAGGCACTGGCTGGAGAGAGAGAGAAGACAGTAATCAATAAGAGAAGAAAGAGGAACTGCTACTGCATGGCTCGTGAGAGTAATTTATGAGATGGGAAAAATAGGCGCAGTATACTACCTCGAAGCGATTCCAAAAATATAGGACAAGGTGCTGCATAAATGCCGCAGTTGTATAAAAGGCCAAGTAAGAAAACCCTGGATAAGAGGAGAAAGCTTAGTTTGAGCTTGAAAAGCATAAAGAAATTCACCATATGCTGGCGGATACAAGCACATAGATATAAGCTACATACATGCATAAAATACATGTGTTTGACTATAGTTTCAGGTGTTAGAATTTTTTGGGACTGCTTACCATATGCATATGAGAAAAAATAGATGTGAAACACCAGAAAGTACAGCAGGAAAAAGCGAGGGAAGTACTGCATCGAGATTGGAGTGCGGACACTGCATGTTCACAAGCAAAACAGTTAGGGGCCAAAAATGCAAGTGTGCATGCCCGTGATCACGCATAGAAACACAGAGAGAGAGAGAGAGAGATTACCTGATCATTGTAAATACTTCACATAACCACACAAGCAATAACACCATGAAAGCAAGTAGTTGATCATCATAAAACTCAAAGAGGAAGAAGAGAATGCCGATCATAATCTGCAACCAACAGAGGAACTCTATCAAATGAGTGAATACAATAAATGAATCACCAAATACCCTGAACCTAAGGAATCGGCCTTGCATCAAGGTGGTAGGAGCTCGGTTTTCATAGCATTATGTCTCAAGTTCCATTCCTATGTAAGCTTGTCAAAAAAAAAAAACCTAATGAAAAATGAACGGAAAAACCAATGTTACTGTGCAAAACCAGACAAGTTTTGCACCAATTTATGATGTGCCCTCTAGCTAGAGCAACATGATAACTAATACACTTTCTAGCATAGTTATCTAGACTGCTGACTGGTGCCTTGGCTAGTCCAGTCAGAAGTCAAAATTGAGTTTGATAGAAAACCAACCAAAACCACTATTTGACCGACTTTTGGTTAGTTGGACCGACTACCTTTCACCAATTAAACCGGTTAAATAAAAATAGGATTTTTGTTTAATATATTTCATATTTAAACCATTATTCCTACTTTTTCTTTATTTTCTCAAAATCTGGTCCAATCAGTATGACCAGCAGTCAGACTGGTTTTGACTAAACTAGAGCCGCCACCGCTTACGTGGCCAATCCAATTCTGCTAGCACCGCTATGTACATAACCATGATAATAACAAATATTTCCTCAAAACTAAAACACTGAAACACCTAATTTCATCAGTCCAAGATTTCCCTGCTCCAAATATTCTCTTTTTGTAACTATGCAATGCGAGCGTTTGTAGAATCCTCTTGTAGCAGCATACTACACACACTGGCTCCCTTAGGGGAAAGAGCAACTTGGGAGGATTTTTTCGGTATGATTATTTTAGAAAATGGATTTTCAGTTCTTAAAAAGTTAGATATAATCGTCCAACAATTAAGTGGTCTCTAGCCATTTGGGTTGGGGAGGGGGGGGGGAGGTGAAGGGGGTGCAATTCAATGGAGAAGGGGAACTCAAGATGTTATTTTATAGCACTAGCCACTCTAACCACATGGCCTTCAATCCATTCCTAAGGATGGTCTCTATTCAATCTTAGAATTATTTTTTCAGGCACATCTGAAGTCCAAAAAAATTTTTGGAGGTTGGTCACCGAAAAAAACAAAAAACCTTTTTTTTTAGGTTTGTCGATAACTCCGCCATTGCGAGTCCCAAGCCTGAATGACAAAGGAGGAGGATGTTGTGTTAGGTTGGCAGCCAGCAGAGAACTTTTGCATCTCTATCATGAATCATGATCTAACGTTATATGCTCATTCTAGGGCGGTCCCTATATGCGATAGCCTTGGTCTAACTAAGGGTATAGTCTTTGATAGAGCAGAATGGCTGGCCCTTGATAGAGCAGAATGGCTGAACAGGATTCATATAGCCAACCTCAAATAAAGAGGAAAATGCATGCCATGCTTTAACAAAAAGGAGAAGTAAACTCACCGGTACAAAGACGAGAGATTCAATTACATGCACAAATATCAATTGGAATGTAGGAAGGCGATGACGTGCGTGATGCTGGAGTTGTACTGCAATATTTATGCAAAAGAAATTTCAGCACAGAAAATAAGTAAAAGTATCTCATACCAGGTCTAAACTAGAGAATTAAGCTTAAGAATAGAAGGCATATGAAACAAACTTACCTGTAAACTTAAGCATGCGGGACTGTGTTTCCCTCAGAGTAAAAGAGACTGACATTGTTGTTGTAAAGAACACAAACAGTGACATGATAAGCACACCACACTTGGCCACAAGATAATCTGCATGCAAAAGAAGATATAGCTAGGTAACTGGAACAAAATGCATATATGAGATGGGAAACATTTATATTGATCCCCAGCCCACCATACTAGCCTATGAACGTCCAGCTATGCTGTTTGGTCTTGCAATACAAGAAAAACTCATCAATTGAAGCTAAAAATATAGGATCTGCCAAGTGCAACTCAGCATACCTCAACACCGATCTCATATTTGCTGACATGAATTTGTTAAGACTAGTTTAATGAAAATATATTATCCAAAACCATAGAAAACCGAATGTTTCATACAGTGGGATATCATCTATTGTTATGAACAACAGTAGTAGCATGCCAATACATGTCCCAAATGAATGTTATCAGAAAGCAGTGGAACAGTTCTAACTATGAAGTCAACTTTTCAGAGAAGCAATTATTCATTAGTAAGAGCAACATATATATCAAGATACATTAAACTATATAGGCGTACAAGAGGTATAACTCTTATTAGAAGAGTGAAAGTGTGCCCATAGATAACTCATCACTCCCTTTCTTACCTACGAACTCATTTTCTCATTGGAATATCGAAGGACATGGCCAAAGGGCACTTGCAATAAGTCACCAGTCTCAAAAAACTGTATTACATTGGCAAACCAACATAATTGCCAAGCTACCACATCAGATCTAAATGATAAGCATAATGTTCACAGACAAAATCTGGAGAAATGGATGATTTATTTCAAAGATACATGCGAATAGGTTTAGCTTGTAGACTGAGGCATCATCCATACACTAATGTTGTTTAATACAATAACCATCGATCATATATCCCTTGGTGCGTCATTTATAATATAACATTAGCATCGTTTGTAGGCATCACGAATAGAGTCTTATTTTGACATAAGGAACACTTGCATTAGAGTACTTCTGTACATGGGTAAAAACTTCAGCTCATTATGAAAGAACATGTCATGCCAGTTATCTGGTTCATGAAAATAAAGAATTTTCCTATAAACAACAACGTACATTTAGCAATCCCATAGTTCCTAGTAAATGCAAATATTCTCTTTTTTTTCTTTTAGTTTACTCAATGCAAATACTTATTCTCGTGCCCAAGCACACACACACACACACACATATACATCTAAAAGGGGAACAAGGTAGAAAATATGAAGATGCACATTTAATGTAACCAGAGACAATTTACGTTTACAAACCTTCGAATCTGGGGAAGACCTCAGCAGATTCATGTGTGAAACTAAGATCGTAGAATTCCTTTGTTTGAAAATTATATAAATAACCTGCAAGTAAAAAATAACTGTTTAGGAAGTGCATAGATGATAGAATGTGCTGGTACAACAAATAAAAATACTGGGTTAACTTGTTTGGGCTTTTTGGTACAAACTTCAAGGGTTCAAACCACTGGTCTCCCTCACCCAAACCGATGTCTAGCAGTAAACCGAGCTTGAGGGAAAAACTTTGGACCATTTCTTAATAGGCTAAAATGTGCTGGTAGAAATCAATTTACTGATTGTTTCAAATCTATAGTTGTATGACAAAGTGTCTGGATCCTAAACAAATAATTTGATTACCATTTGTCGTACAAGGAACAGTGGTACAACTTTCATGCCTGATCATGTAGGTTATCAAATACACGGCAAAGTCGCCTGAGTTAAGGCAACTCTGTGTCACTTCAGTTGAATTGCCTCCAGCAGCAGAAGCTACAGGGACACCTAGTTTCACCAAGGGGCTTGCCCACTTGACTAGCACATAGGTGCTCACCTAGAACATGCAGACCAAGCGTGTAGGGTTTTTACACAGTAACTTTTTAGAGGATATCCATGTGTACATACATGGGGAAACTTTTCATTAACAAAGCCATTATTTCCTGTGGCATTGATGGAAGCCCCAAATACTTGACTGCTCCTGCTCTTACAACTACTCTGGGACAGTCCATATGTGGGATGAATAATATAGCAATTTTTTAACAGCCCACTTTTTCTTTTTTAGAATTGATCACAACATGAATCAGGATGCATTTGTAAAATTTTAAGATCCTAAAAATCCTCCTAAAGTGGTCTGTTGGGTTCGGTCACCGACAGCCCCGTATATAGGTAATTTTTCCTACAAACATATTACTCTAATATTTTATATATGAAAGAGTGAAGAGAAAAAACAAAACATATCCAACAGTTTTCACACATAAACAATAGATACAACTAAAAATTAAGTATTCCAAAGTCAAATCTCAAAAAAAAAATACATCAGAAATTCTGACACCATCTAGAGCACAAAATATCAAATTAATAACAAAAAAATATTCCATAATGTATATAACACATATGTACCAACAAAAAAAACAGAAACGTTATTACATCCCAGTTTAACTGCTTTACAAAAGAAACTACTTGACAAATAAAACAAAAAATAGCAAATGAGAGAGAAAAATTTTACTAGATCAAAATCTTGCAAACCTAATTCTAGGTAAGTCGAAATGGTCCAACAATGTTTGGCGAAACAAGAAACAGCCACAAACTCAAAACTCAATTGATTTTGTTAATTGTCCTTTTATCAAAATCAATCATTTTCAAAATTTGTTTTTGATTCTTTTGTAGCTATCAAAATAGCCTCCATGAGATTCTGGGGCCACCCCAACACAAAGAGAAAATGCTAAAATTTCCTAGTAGAGGGTAAACAAAGTGAAAACCCTCAAGTTCTTGGTGAACATTAAAGCAAGCACCTGGAGGCCAAGGGGAAAACGAGAAGAGACACCATCTAGGCTCCTCTAATCATGATAGAAAATGGAAGAACTAGCAAGATTGCCCCAACCAAGGTACCTATGAATGGAAAACCCTCAAATTGAGGGTAGCCATCGACGCAAGCACTAAAGGGTGTCACACCTAAGTGCCAAAGTTTTCTCACCCCTGTTAAAATGGAAAAAGAACACATAATCAAGACTAGCTATTCTCAGTTTGAAAACTGATATTTGAGTTTGCAACATTGTATTCGACCAAATCAATCGATCCTAAAAAGAATCACACCCCTAGCCCCAATCTACATCAGTAGTTAATTGTCAATGGTCAGATATCGCTTTGCTCACTAGAAAACAATAAGAGAATGAATCAAGAATACTGGTCAGTGTTGTATTCTTATTTACACAGACAAAAAAAATATTCGAGACTTAAAATTACATAACAGAAAGAAAAGGAAATTAAATTACATAATATGAAAAAGGAATATAATTAAATGCCCAAAGAAATTGTATTGGAAACCATAAAAATATCAGTTTTGTTTTCTAGCAAATATAGCCGAATTCGATATTGTTAGACTCAAACAAGTTGGCAACTTGGTCATGACCGCACATCATGCCAAGTTCCGTTAAAATCAAAAGTCAAAACTGAGGGTACCCAGTCATGAGGTGTGCTCAAGACATGTAACCTCATGAACTGAGTTAATGAACTAAACCCAGAACCTACAATAGACCAAGGAAAATTGCAATCACGTATAAGTATCAAACACAATATATTTAATAGTAACTGTATTGTGCAAAATAGATCAAATAGCACCCACAAAAAGTAAGTCTGTCACAAGAATGCCCTAGTGAACATTTTATAACCAACAACTCATACCTTGACCAGGAGCACTCAACAAACTGTTCATCAAGATCGTGTCATACCCAACGAAACTATTTATGAGAAGCCGCAGCCACCTAGAGAGAGGGGGGGGAATACTAATCAGAAAAAATAAAGGGAAAAATAACTGCTCATTCATATTACTAGTATGCGCAATTACATGAATGCAGACACAAAATTATGAAAAATAGTGTTATCTTTGTCAGTATCACTCAAGTTCACAGAGAAGCACATCCACTGTTGATAAGCTAACTTTTGGGGAACAAAGTGGGGAAGTAAGACTAGGGGATCCACTCATTCTTTCACTTGACCCTTCTCTGTTTTAATTTAGTGAATTTATCATGTGAATTACAATATGCGTCAGCATGTGGCAGCTGATGGGTGTGTATAAATCACAGATACATGCATGTGTATATGTTCATCGAAGTAAGAAACATCAACCATTTGTATGCACATAGATCCAAAGGCTTTTTATAATCAACACACAGGCATATTTAAAGTGGTATGTACCAATAATAATCAATTCATAGTATCATCTAATGCATTCAATACCCTCTCCGAACTTTAGCCATGGTGGGCACTGCCACCTTGGAGCCCTGTCCAACCTTATGATTCTGTGTTTTCTTCTGTTCTTTTTGTTTTTTCCTCACTCTAGGTTCTTTACTCCCTCTCTCACTCCCGCCCCCAAAAAAAATAAAAAAAAATAAAAAATAAAAAAAATGAAGAAGAAAAATTCTCTTCCCCCAGGGCCTTGGTAACTTCATTTCTCTCTGAGCACCCGGTTTGTGGGTTGCCCCTTCTCATCCCCCTGATCTTCACTTCTTTCTCTCCCCCTCTCCAGATTTTTGCCCTGGCTTTTTATTTCATATTAGAGCTTGTTTCTGTTTTTTGGACCATCCCTATCTCTCCCCTAGCTCCAGTGACTGAGCGCCCAACTTGTGGGTGGTCTCCACTGTGACTTTTAGATTGTTGCTCTCCAAATCCTCAGTGGCTGAGCATCCGACTTGCGGGTGACCTCTACTCATTTTTAGACATTTGCACTCCTTTGGCGAGTGCCTCTTTCTTTTTTGTTAGCTTTATTTTCATGCAGACACCTGTGCAAGTGGGCCATCCCTCGGTTCATTTTCACTATTCCCCCTTACCCTTTCTTTATCTATCGCCTACTTGTCATTACATGCTTTATTCTGCGTCTTCCGCGCCTTTCCATCTTCTTTTTTCTCTCTTTACTATTTTGGTAGAACCCCAATCTACCACTAAGGCTTCCTCTGCCCTCTGAAAATCTTCCCCTTTCGTCTCTTCTGGCCCCTCTTTCCATCCCACTATTTCCCAACTCCCCTCCCCCGCTTCTTTTTTCCATCCACTTGACATATCACATTAAAAGGTTGACATTAAAAAAACAGAACTCTCAATCTCCATAAACAACCAACATCAAACTTGTGAGGTTTCAAAATCTTGTATAAGCAACAGTCTGACTTACAAGGTTACACCATATAAAGAAGAGAACAAAGCATTGAAGAGACATACTTAGATGCAATATTATTTATTGTAACAAGCCGCCTGAAGAATGGCAAGTCTCTTCCAATTAAACTTCAACTAGTAAACACTAGAGAAAGGCCAGTTTTCAAAACCTGTTTCCAAAGCATGGATGTTGAGCAGAAATGCTGACATTAATAGTGCGCACATTATGCTTCGATTTGGCAGCTTCAGGAAGCATGAAGTAACCCTGCACAACATGTAAAACGATGAACTGTTTTAAAATACTGTATTCACCAGCATATCACAAGCAAAAAGATAAAAGACATACTCAAGAGTGACTAGACTAGCCTTAGATATCTAATTTTTGCATAAGACAATAATTCGTACAGAGAAAAAGAATTTGTCAACCAAGTCAAAGTATAATTTGTGTTTCACCAAAACAAAAGTATCGGTACACTAGTCACATTTATGCAATCTATCAAAAACATAAGAAACAATAAAATGAGGATGTATTACATCTTAATAAGGATGGTCAACCCCATAGAAAACACAGGTAAAGTTACAATTAAGAAAAGAAATCCCATATATTCAGAACCTAATGAACCCAGAGCATCAGGTATATGCTTAACTATGAAAAACGAAATCTCCAAGGATGTGGCAATCTAAAGGATCTATTACAGAGCTCTAGCACATTGCAGTCTTTTAAGAGTCAATGAATGCCTCGATAGCCCCCCAAACACATCAAAAGACCCTCATACAATCAAGAGGCTAAAGAAATGGCTCGCTAGCCCCCCATTTATTCCCATGAATGTGTTTGTCACTTTCTCAAGAAAATCTCAGGAAGTGGATCCCATTTTCCCAATCAAATACTGTCATAGAGAAGCTTGAGAACCCTTAAGAGCACCACTACATATCCTTGACCTTCGAAAGAGAAGATTCAATGCCCACCATGGTTGTCTCAGAAATTTAGAGGTGCGCTTCAGATAAGAGACAGCCTCCTCATCTTGAGCCAAAACTTCAAGGTGAGCGTCCCAAGAAACAAAGGATGAGACATATGCATCACACCTAGTGCTTATAACCCTAGAATTGAACGTGTGCTTTCAACAGAGAGTAAAGCTCTATTTATTATATCAACATTTCTGAGATTAAAACCAACCCCTAAATCCCAACAACCGACAACACACCCCCCCCCCCCCCCGAGAAAAAATAAAAAATAAAAAAACCAAAATATAAAAAATCAGGGGACCCCAACAAGAAAAGGGACAACGAGAAAAAATAAAAATCTGGGGGGTGCAAGGAGAAAAGGGAAAAAGAGAAAGTATATTAAGGCACGGAGGGCATTAAAAAATTTGGAGATTCAAACCCCAATCATTAAAGAGGTACCCATGCCATTTCTCATCCAATGTATGTGCATTTTCTAGCTGGTCGCAACATAACTTCCACTGGGGTCCATTTGAAACTTCGGTTCTTCACAAACTAGTAAAAACCTTCCTCTTTTTTTTTCTTTCGCATACACTAACAGAAAGGCTCCTAAAAATGGCTCGGAACTGGAAATCTAGCAATTCATTTAATGATGCAGTCACCAATTGACACACAATAAGTTTGTGCTTAGATGTCAGTTTTGGGTAGTCAAAAGCACAATTTGATGATTACAGCCCCCACTTCTAAGGATTTTCCTTAGTTCAGGCAACCTGAGGTTCAAATCAACATCCGAATTCTAATGGAAAAGTAATGATGAATTTAATGCCATACTTCCACCTTACGTAGCTTTGTGCTTAGATGGCATGTCAGTTTTTTATGGCCCAATATTTGATTTGAAGATCTCTCCAAGAACTACAAATTTAATTTCTAAGGATTTTCTTGAAATCATTTCTACCCTAGCTCACACAATGAGGAAGCCAGAACCTTGAACTACTCGTTAGGATCAATCCTTTGGGTTCTATATCGATTCCGAAACCTGCTATTCGACTTGTGGAAAACTGGAAACATTTATAATACAGGTATTGCTCCAAAGAATTTCAAGGCAGGGCAATTCAAAAGGCCCAAAACCCAAACACCAAACACAAAGTTATGGAACAATATTTTCAATGCCTAGAAAATATTCAGCTTGAATGTGAGAGAGAGAGAAAGAGAGAGAGAGAGGAGGAGAGAGAGAGAGAGAGAGAGAGAGAGAGAGAGTAGTAGATAGTGTCTAGACTATACGTACGAACGGTACTAATAACGTAAAGTAACGTACCGTTACCCGTTAGGTAGGTACGGTTAACCACCCAACCCA